TCGATTTATTATTTTTAAATGTAACTGGGTTCTGCAGAGCCGTAAACTTTTATATCATGATAAAAATAGAATAATTTCGCTTTGTAACTTTGATTTAATTAATCTTAATTTAAAAACTATTAGTGGCATCTAATATCTAGTATTCTCTTTCAAAATCTATGGATTTCGATTTAGTTATAAGAATTTTGGATTTAGCTTACATATTGTATTATATTTTTCCCCTCGATTACTCCGAACATAAATAGCATGTTCGGAGTAATCGAGGGGAAAAATTAACAGTCTTGTCATATATTTTTCTGTGTTTTTTTCCCCCCAATAAAGGGTATGTTCCGATATACACTGCGAGCACTGCGCAGTGGTCTTACTGCTGAAAAATCCGTTCCGTTATGGACTGCCAGTACACTGCTACAGTACCCTAGGGAAATTTATGACGTCATAAATTTCCGCCATATTTGTACTGTGAGCACTGGAGATTTCGAGGTAAGGTGCTCGCAGTGCTTTTGATCACGTGATCAGTCGAAACAGAATCAGAAAATGATAAGTTTCTAAATAAACAAAAAAAATACTTACGTTTATTATAAGATGGATTTAATTGATAAATAATTTTTTTATACAATTTTCCAATTTTATAATATTTTCTTTTGAAGAGAGGGAATCTTTATATTTATATTCACCTTGCATTAACAAATTTGAAAATGGCGCCAAAAAATAGGATTAACAGTATACTGGACTGCGTTCCGTTTTAAAAAGTCACCAGTATAACTAGCTATAAAGGAACGGGCTTCCAGTATACTAAATTGATGTCATACTGTTCAGTGGTCGCCAAAATACTGTTCCTATTAATTTGTTCTCATATTATCATGACAATATGATTTTTGTTTTGGTTATAAGAATAAGCTGCCTGAATAAAATAACTCGTAGTAACGACCATTGTGTCAGTAATCCTAATTTATGCACTTTCATATGTTTTTGTATAGTGAATAAAACTTACATAATAACCTTTTTATATTCATGTTATGCATAAGTTTGTTGGTAATAATAATAGTTTTTTTTTTCATTTGTGTAGTTTAATTATCAACCGTGGCTGTTGCTAATACTATCAATGTGCCTTATCGAGTATTGCAAACGGGAAATGGCACAATTAATTGTAAATAAAAGGGCATATTTCCTGCATTGCCACAATGTTGTTCTCGGAGAAAAACGTAATCTGTATCTTTTTTTTTGCATCTTCAAATCAATCAGTTTCATTTTCAGAGTAATTTGTTGTAAGCACTAGTTTGTGACTAGCTTCAGAATCCGTATAGTGGGAATAAAGTGGCATATATGTTAATCCAGGTTTAGAATGAAAATCCGTTCAGTGTTATGGCGTGATTAAGTAACTAATACACAACAACACACACTTGCGTTTATAATAAAGATAAGTAGGAATATTATTTAACAACACAGCCAATTACTTTCTTCTATACGGTATATGATCTATCAACAAAAATACAAAAAGTATTTGTGGTAACGAAGGCGGGTATTACAGAGGTAATATTGGTGATATTCAAGTGAATTTATTATTTAAAGCTATTGTAATTTTGTAAGGGAATTCCATAAGTATAAAAGGAATAAAATTCGAATGCGTCACTGGACTCGATCAGGTCAAGGTTCGGTGGTGGCTGACTATTCCGATGACTTACGTCATTATTATGAATACGGCGACACTTGCATCAAGGCGAGAGAATGAGGAAAAATAGTCAAATCTTCATTTGACAATATCGATTGTAACCTTCGGCATTTTGGTCGAAGGTGATAATTTGAGGTTCTATGTGATTTATTATATTTTCCTGCGACTTCGCACGTATAAATTATAGCCTATAATGTAGCATGAAGCTTACCGTAGGTGAAAGAATTCGGTCCAGGAGTACGGAGTCTATTCGATGCAAAAAACAAACAAAATCTTTTCCCTCTATAATATTAGAATAAAGATGTAAAAATGTAAAAAAATACAATGTCCTTGCATGCCTGTAAAGCAGAGACTGATTCGAAAGATTTATGCGTCTTCGCTTTAATTTTTTATTGATTTTACTTCGAAGTTCCGATATGATATAGCCATATCAAAGTAGGTAAGTAGGTAACAGATAACATAATCACAAAATATAAAAATCTCTTCGCGGCATGTGAAGATTCACACTTTTAACGGATTTTATTAGACGGGACGTCAATCCAATAAATGGACTGTCCCCATCATCAAAAAATGGGGACAGGTAATGACGAATTGCGCATTAAAAACTATATTATATAAATTATTCACAATCTTTAGCGAATATTATAATAGTACTGCGTAATTGGCTACGAAGTGACTTATCGACATAATTATAAATTGATCATATAAAAGGCATACCTAATTACAACAAGAAACTATGATGAGAAAATATTACAAATTTATGTTTTAGCTGAGACAGAATTCTCAGAAGTAAGTTTATATTTTGTAGTTTTCATTTTTAATTACAGCTAATTGGCGTTATTTTTTTGTTCAAAACCAGTTGAAAGCGTTTTTCTGCTTTGCACGCCAATCTTAATTAGATTTCGTTCTAAAAAATAAGACGTACAATTTTTTCTTATGTGAATTATGTAGGTGAATTAATTCATTAATATTTATTATTAAATTAAAGTAGCTCGGCGGCGTAGAGGATAAGCTCCTCGGCCCGCAATCGTTGTTGTTAAGCAACTTTCGCAAGAGTCGGTCACGGGATGGGTGACCAAAAAAATATTATCTCGAGCTACTTCGTGCCTCGGAATGCACGTTAAGCCGTTGGTCCCGGCTGCATTTGCAGTCGTTAATACCCTCTAATCCGCATTGGACCAGCGTGGAGGGTCATGGCCCATCCTCCTTAACCATCCATAAGGAATGCCTGAGCCCCTGCAGTGGGGACGTAAAAGGGCTGATGATGATGATGAATTCATTAATAATTCTGCCAGAATTGGTGTTAGGCGAAATATGGCTATGTTTTCTATACAAGTGTATTTAATAAAATTATTTGCTAAGAAAAATCGGTGAACATCGATAATATTATAAAACGAACTGGTATGTACCAGTCGAACGGAGCACCTCCAACTTTTCGAAGTTGGAGGTGCTCCGTTTGAAGGTGGTTAAAAATGGCATTTATGAATGAAACTATGCGGACCTACAGTGTTATTCTGTTATAAAATTGTGGCGGGTACGATGCTTAGGCGAATGAATAAAAGGCTGACTGATCTTGAGAACTTGATTTATTAAAGGGTGACAAAAAACTGTAACAAACAAAAAAGGAATATAAAAGCAGTTGGTATGGTTACCCAAATATGTATATATATATATATATATAAATATATATATAGAATTACATACCCCGTTTCGGGGTTTTTCTTAATAGGTAGAACTTAGTAGATATTCATGAAGATATACGTTTACATGTTCCTTATTTAAATAATAATAATTTTTATTGGATTTATAAGATTAAATATATGATTAAATGATGATTAAATAATCATGTTCAACTAACATTTACAAAGAGCATATTGGATTACATAAAATTTCAAATTACGAAAAGTTAATTCAAATAGAACTTACTTTAATAAATACAAGTAATACAGGTATGTAATCGAGGCTCTATGCTGTCACAGCACTGTACTTGGCGTAGAGTCCGAAGTTCCTTTTAATAGAATAACATAGCGGAACATCATACATCATACGTCATTACATTTGTATACGCTTTCACATGGCCTGAAAATACCGAAATTTTTGTAAACATGTGAAACCGTTTGTTTAGAAACAAAGTTAATATATTTTTCGCACCTGAATATTATCATGTTTAGTCGAAATTTTCGTACAGTATACAAACATATGTAGGTAACGAATGTGTCATACTAAACACTTTTACTATCTTAAAAAATTCAAACCAAAGAGCCTGTACCAAAATATTACTTATATGTATCACTAAAGTAACATTGCTTATAATTTTTAGAAGGCGTTTACTTTTTTTTTTTATTTCAATGACTAACAATTTGGAAAGACAATAAAACTAGATACTTACTAAATACTTAAGAGAACTAGAAAAACGAGCTTAACCTGTCGCAGGATTTTTCCACTCACATTTAATTACCTCGCACTTTTTGTCGAGATGTCATCCTAACTCGAGACGTTAAATGCACGTACAAAGCAAACAGAAAAAGTTTGATTAGAATCAGCTTTCGTCTGACGTCAAGGTGTCACCTAATTTATTATTCCGTCCTTCGAAGACTAGAAGAGATTTCAATATGATTCTGACATTATATATTATGTAAATATTTTTCTTTCTTATTCCTAAAAATAATATCTATGGTTTGAAATTGGAATACAGAATTTACAATTTGAATTTAATAGGCTTTATCATATTTTTTTCTCATTATCATAAACCTATTAATGGCCCCACTGCTAGGGTAGGTATATCCCTTCCATATGAATGGAATGGAAGTTTTGCTGCTCACTATAAGTTCTGTTCAGCCTCTTTATAGCTACTTGAGCTCCAGTTATAAGCGAGTATATTTTACTTATTGAAAGATATTTTATTATACCTATGACTTGTTTATGAATTATTTTTTGCCAGTTGTATTACTTAATAAATAGCACATTAATATCAGAGTGAACCAATACTCTTTCGTGATCCTGAGATTTTTCTCCAACCCTTTGATAAAGTTGCTACTGTTTATAGAAAGATAGTACTTATATTATTTTGATAGTCCATGATAGTATATCACTCGTACGGTCATCGTTTTTTGTAGGCCCCGTTCTTGATAATACATATTCAATCTCATTTTGAACCATCTTGGCCAGCTCTGACTTCTACACCCTTCCGATTTCGCGATGACGATTATACAATGACTGTTGGCATTTTGTCTGAATCAATTTAACTTGCTCCTATTTATTTTTACACTAAAACCATCTTTGAAAATATTTAACATTATTTCGTCTTTTGTCGTAGGTGAAAAGATCTATCATGCTCAAGATGGCAGACGCTTGTGCTGACAGTTCTAAGCAGACTAGGTTTCATGAGATGCACGTCCAACGGCATAACAACGTTAGCATCCTGTACGCGGATATCGTCAACTTCACACCACTCTCCGAGAGACTCAGCGCCTCTGATCTCGTGAAGACGCTCAACGAACTCTTTGGAAGGTTCGATCAAATTGCTCAGGTGAGTTGAAAATAACAATGATATTTATTTATCAATGGTGGTTTGTCTGAACTATTAACTGATGTCAGTTAATAGTGCATCTAGATATGCTTGATTTGCAACGATCAAGTAATACTTTACATAGGTGATTAAACAGAAAATTAATTGTAAGGTTCACCATCGAATGTTATAATTTATCTTCTGTCTCGCCAATTCACACTGTCTGTTTTCTTCACTTGCCAATGTTTCCCTCAGCCGTCAGCAGCTAATCGTGATAGTCATTAATTCCTTCATCTGCCTTATTGGATACAGTTATGCGTCCTTTTGTCTACTTCGCAAGTAATACAATAAATTCTTCATATAGTGCACATAAAATTACGTAATATAATGTTTTGATGTGCATATAAAAATCAATAGATTTACAGCAGGTTACGATGTGTTTTGTAAACTTCAAACTTTCTCATATTGCAACTTGAAAATTTTCTTCTTGGCTAAGTTTTACGATCTTCCACTGTATAGGTACTTAAGTTAACGAGCAGTTTCATCTTAAATACAGTTACAGTTTGTTATTGCAACTGCAATTCCATCGAGAGTAACTTATGAAGAAACTTCTCTATACAGAAATGTCTGAAGCGATATTGAAGTTAATTAATAACTTAACGCCCCTATCTGATAAGTTAAATGAAATGAAATAACGATTTTATTTGAACTTTACTACGAAGTAAATTATAAGTCTTTTGAACTGCTAAAATTTACCATAGCACATTTACACTCGGTAGTCGAAGCTAGATACTCATCAGAAACGTACAAATCCCGTAAACGAATAGAAAAAATAAACAAAAAACTTCTGGTGATATAAAATCCAGCAGAATTTATGTGATGATAAGAAAAAACTGAAAGATAAATCCTAGATGTAATCTGCACATGCACATCTTATTACGTATGTTGCAATCCCAGACCTTTTAGCCTAGATAAATACGCTCATGGTGTTTATAAATCTCATTAACTAAATATAAAGTAATAGCTTTACAGGTAATAATACATATGCAGGTGAGTTCCGATGCAGAACAAGATTTAATAACAGTAAAATAAAACGAATATGAGGTTGTTTGAATGTTTAAATAATCTTATGAAGTAATGACATAATTTCGACAGTATCAGAATTTCATGAAATAGATATTTTTAAAACTATTTTCAAGATAATCTTGGAAATACAGTTATATGGTGATGGAATTTTCGGCAATTCTACCCTGAAAGGGGTCAAAAAGGGTGTCAACGTTTTATGACACTTTTTTGTTTTTGAATCTTTGTCTATGAAACTGGTATTTGGATAGTTTAAAACCCTGGGAAGGTTCATATTTTATCCCGAAATCTAGCACTTAAATGAAAAGATGAGTAAAAGTTTTTATGGGATATCAAAATGTTGCCATAGCAACCATTGTTTGCAATTTGATTTTTGTCATTGTAATAAATCTATCTAATATTATTTGTAAAGCTTTCCTTATATTATGATAAAAAATGGTATTTGAGTACATAATTGATAACAAAAATAACATTTATATGATGTTTTACTCAGTTGGTTACGACATATTCATTACATATTAACCTCCATGGTTTTTTCATTTGATTACACGAAATTTCCTCAATTTAAATTCGACAAAAACAGCTGTGATTTATAGTCTCAGTCTATTTATTTTGGTAATTGTCTGGTAATCTTTTATTATAAATGATATAATGAGTGACAAAGCGAATCTTTCAAGTAGATCTGTGTATATGTCTGCTAAGCTCTCATGCCTAATTCACTAATAATCGTTGACTCCAAATAGGACATATGTTCCTTTTGTTGTGATGAAAAACTTTGTATAGAATTTCGTCATTGCCAAAGATAAAATCATGAAACCTTATATTCAGGTATGAAAAATATTTGTTTTAGACTTTTTGAAAATGCTGCCCAAAGTAACTTTATAGACAGGCGGACGAAGTTGCGGGCAAATAGGCTAGTTACAATATAAAGGTATGCAAAATAAATAAATTGGTCTGCTGCCAAAGTTAAGCAAACCGTTAACAAATATATGCAAACGCCAAAAGTTCCATACGAGCATAATTACGTTTAGTTTCACACGACCTCAGGTGGGACCGTGTTTACTAACTACAGCGTTTCCATGTTTGTGTTTTACAATATAGGAAAACAAATGTTTTGCGAGCAAGCTTGGTGGTAGAGATTTGGTTTTATTATTTTGACTTTCATATTTCATATATTCTAATGAATAAGATCTCGAAGGCGTAATGGTTGGTTCGTTCTGTCTGCGTTTGTAGAACAAGAAACATTCGCAAGCCATATTAAGCCATTAGGACCTGAGATGTTGACTGTTAGGATCAAATGGTCTACATTGGGCCCTAGAGAAGGGTTATGGATCGTTCTGATTATATTTCTTTCGTGTGTATATTATTCTTAATCAGTTACTTTCATATTTGATGACACATAAAGGCATTTTATATACATTCTGTTCGTCAAATGAATAATCATTTTTAATAAACGAATTGTTTAAATATTTTGTTGCTTTTTATCTTATAAATTTTATGATTTTATGATGCGTATTTCTTCCCAATAAGTGAGTTTCTTAGAAATTTATATAAAGGAAGTTACCCTGAAAGTGTCGAATCTATGGATTGATGGTCGTTGGTTGTCGATAGTTCTGTACTCTTTGGCTTGTGGCTTCTTGATTGATGACATTTGGGAGAACTAAGATACCGCAATAATAATTTTAGATTTTTAAGACGCTTTAATATTAATTATATTAAAATGTATGCATATTACTACGTATTAATTCATTTAGATGAAGAAGCGAACGCCAACTAGTTACAAAGATGTAGCCATAATTAAAATACCAATTTACACTTCAGTTAGCGCAGTGTCGGGTTAACTTGTCTCCCCGGCGAATTAAGTTCTATTATATTTGCCGTTGGAACGATAAAAGAATTTAGGTAAGGCGCACTCGGGTATATTTTATCATAACTCGCCACTGTACTTTTCATTTGATCGCTTGGGCTTGATTGATAATTTTTTAGTAATAAACTTCGTTAAGAATGTTATATACATTACGCGAATATGTTAATTGTACTGTCTTACTTTTGATGTATGGATAATTTTGATATTGATGTAATTTTCAGTTGTTCCATAAAGAAATTAATTGTGCCAACGAGCGTTCTGAAGTTAGATAGTAATTCATTACAAATTTAAAAAAAGTTTAAAATAATACTTATATCAAAAGCTACTTATTCAAGAAAATGCTATTAAATTCGGGCGAAGGTTTTCTGTAGTTTATTAATTAAATGATAGGCGCCCGACTTTTTCACTTTTTTAAGTTATAAGGTTTTTATTTTACGCTTCGTAATTTTACATATAATAGGTAACACTAAAAATACTTTTCTGAAAACCACGTCAAAATTGGTTAAGCCAAACACGAGATAATCGCGCACAAACATACATACATACAGGTTAAACTGAGCACCTCCTTTTTTGAAGTGACTCATTGACTAGCCTATTGTTTTCTTCTTAAAACGCGGTCTTTATGTATATACGTTTCGTTTCCATCAGGAGAACCAGTGCATGCGCATTAAGATCCTCGGTGACTGCTACTACTGCGTGTCCGGGTTACCGGTGTCCCGTCCCAATCACGCATACAATTGTGTCAATATGGGCCTGCAAATGATCGACGCCATAAGGTAATATGGACGCTTTATGTCACATCTTGATTACACTTGTTACACATTAAATAATATGGTTTGTATAGCCTTATTCGTATAAAATAACACTGTTTTAAATTAGTTTTACTTAAATTGAGGACCTCAATTCCGCTAAATGTTTACGGTACCGATCGCATTTAGACCATATTTCTTTTGTTTTCCTTCATCGTGTTTGAATACAAAATCCAAAAACTATTAGCAATTGAATGATCGCCTCTAAATATTTCAACAATGAAAAACGTAAACGATAAACTTCTAAAACTATTATCGATTATTGACTAGTGAAAATGGACATATTACTGCAAATTTTTCTCACCGAACTGTACAGTACTAGCACAAGCAGTGAATAGTTACGTTAAGGTATATTTCGCCTCCCTTAGCGCTTTAATTAATCACTGAAATCGGTTCCAATCACTGAAGGTTCGTGCGCGAAGCGACTGGTTTCAACGTGGACATGCGCATTGGAATACACACTGGCAACGTGTTGTGTGGCGTGCTCGGCCTACGGAAGTGGCAGTTCGATGTCTGGAGTGATGACGTCACGCTCGCCAACCACATGGAATCCGGCGGTATCGCAGGGTAAACACTCGTGCGGACTTACTACTCGTACGAATCAACAAGAAACGCGAAGGCCTATTCTGTTTGGAGGAAAAAAAGCATTTTTTGATAATTTATGATGCTACTAAGGTAGGATCTTTACGATTTTTAAGAAATTATAAGAACGGTCCCAAACTTTACAAAATGTTTGTCGAGTGCAAAAAGAAGAGGACCTTTTGTATTTGTACTCGATAGGTGTCTTGTTAATTCGTAAGAGTTATACCTTAAACTATAATACTTCTGAACCATAGTAGCTTTTTATCTTCTTCTCGTATCGTTCACAGTAATGGTCTGTTCAGTATAAGTATAAGAAATTTTATTTGATGATGAATCATGACATGAGACATTCCTCACTAATAATGCATTCGACGACCTCTTTCTTAATAATAATATCAATAAAGTCAATTTATAGATCCACGCAACGAGAAATCGTTATCATATTGGTTGTATATAAAATAGCCAGCATTTTGAGATTTTCTAGCAAATATATAAAAAAATCAATAAGTACTTACATTATAAGGCAGATTGTTGTAGCTGAACGTTGGGCGCCAATTGAGACGATGTATTAGGGATTCAAAACAGAAATACAGGTACCTATCCAAATTTAGCGAGTTACAAATACCAAATATTAGTAAAAATAATACAATTAAAAAATAATATAATGAATATTTGTTATTATCGTAAAGACATTTAAATTAACTGATATTAGGAATGAATTTTTGACATTTAAAGTCACAGATATAAAAATGTAATTGTACGGTCTGTACACCTTTAACTGATTATGATGATGATCTTGATATGGTAGTCTTGATAGAAACACTGATTTAACTGATAACTATTTATTTATAAAAACCAAGGTAATGATACTAGCTAGGAGTACGTATTGTAACGAACTGATGTGAAAGTAGGTTAAAATATTAATTTAAATTACGAATCCTATTATAATATTATAAAGGCGAAAGTTTGTAAGTATGGATGTATGGATGTTTGTTACTCTTTCACGAAAAAACTACTGGACGGATTTGGATAAAACTTTACAGCAATATAGGTTATACATCAGAATAACACATAGGGTACTTTTTACTGGGAAAACTTCTCACTCCCACGGGATACCGACTTCCACGCGGACGAAGTCGCGGGCGTCCACTAGTAATAAATAAAATGCTGACTCAAGAAATGTACGATGCATGTATCGTACAGTAATTAACCCAGGAACAAGATGAACATTGTCGATGGTACTATGCACAGTCGCAGCATGAAGGAGTTAGACTCAACTATAGAGCTTAATAATCTATAGCACATTATTTGCGAATGCGTTAATTCAAAAAATATTTCAACGGTAAATGTATCAGTCTATTTTTTGCGTCAAAACGGTTGTAGCACCTTATCTGCATTCATGAATATATTTCCAAATATTTCATGAAGATAATACGGACAAAAAAATGTGGTCGCTTTTTATTCTTGGGTAATTTTCTTGAACACGAAATGTGTTTTATTACATTTGATTGCTTATTCACGTTTCGGTTTTTCTTACTCGAAAATGATTTTTTATACCTAAGAGTTGAAAGTAAAAATCGTTAGATTAAAAATTATATTGGGGAAATAAATAGAATCTGAAAATGCTTAAATTGAAAATGAGGAAATTAGATCACATGTCTTAAAGTTAAAAGTGAGTATTTTATTAAAAAAACGAAATGCATATAAAAGAATACAGTTATCTCGGAAACTCACTTTCTTCAATTTCCTAAAGTTCAAAATTGAAAAATATTTTGTGTATTACAGATTTTGTGCAGGTTTAATATAAATTTCATGATACCCCTTTGTAGGTATATCATAAGTTGAAACGTATTTATAGAAAAAAAGAGAAAAAGTTTGATAACATTTTTGTTACCATCAGCAAAATTTAAAACTAAAATTTCTGATCTTTAATCAGAATTAAAATTTCTCAAATAAATCACATAAAAAGCTGACGAGGTAACAAAACGAAAGCGCGAGGGACGTCAATTAAGCGAAGTCAGAAAAGAACGATGGTAGAAAAAAACAAGAAAAAATATTTTTAGTACTTGAAAATCATTACTATAATTGCTTATTCGTGTCAGGTGGTCACAATATAATTATTATTCAAATATGTATATCAATTTTTACTGTAAAATATTCTCTCTTTTTTATTTACTATACTGAGCTAAGCCTTTTAATTCATGTTTAGGTCTAATGTCTTAATTTATCATATTTTCATTAATTTATTTATGCAGTTTTTCCGAGATCGTTTCTCTTTTTTTCGAGGATCTGTTTCTAAAAATATTAAACTTTACAGTTCTCATTTTTACTAAAGGACAGTTTATGTAACAAAGTTAAAAAGAATACGCAACTTAAGATACTTTATAAGTTATTTTAGACTAATTTACAAAATTTACTTCGAGAAGCAGAAAGGAAAATGTTGTACTAATTTCATTGACAATTCGCTTTGAAGAAATTGTTTCCTCAGTGAAATAGGTAGTGAACAAGTTATATTTTATACGGAGACTTGGATACATAACTTTTTGATGAAGTAAAATGGTATCTTATGATCTTTATTATGAAAAAAAGTGACAAAAAGAAGAATTAAATGTTTAGAGTAATGATTTAAGTAGTAGACTTTGAAAAATTTCATGTTATATATGGACGCTGTCCTAGTTGACTTTAAAAAATAATAACGGAGTCAATAGAGAGTATATAGGGCTTTTGCAAACCATTAAACAGTACTTTTGCAATGTTTTAAATCATGAGAGATACCAGCTTAGAAGAAATCTTTCGCTTAGTTCGGGAGATAGATAAATTCGCTGAGCTGTCGGTAAACTTTTAGTAATTGAGAGCCAAATAAAGAATATAATACATGGTAAGGTATTGTTATACTATAATATAATTAATAGTATTAATTTAATTAACTACCAAAGTTGCTTAACTTCTGTATCATAGAATAAACGCGCTAACCACTGCGCCTAAAAGGAGATATTTTAATAGTTATATGCAATAGTTTGATATTTGATTAAATAATACATAATATAAATAAAACTTGGATAAAAAATTTGGATGATTCTTTTCTCGTTCAGTTCGATAATTTCTCTAAAGCATTTTAACTGTTTTGGCAATTCTGTTGTATACACTACATTAAGCTTTTATTCTGGCAAACTGTAAATAACAGGAGCAAACTTACTATATTATAATTTATAGTATACAAGACTATATTATATTTCGTAGAGTTTGTTTCTTAGATTATATTTATTAGTAACCATATAAAAATTAGTTTTTTTTGGTTTAGTTTAAAGAGTAGTACAACGGAATAGGCACCAAAGTCTAACTTTTAACAGAGTACGATAGTGTTTTATATTGATAGCTTATCACTTTTATAGGATTACTCAACACAGAGTGGCGCGCACTCGATCAAAGTGCACTTTTTAAATTAAAGGAAGGGTTATAAGCTAAACTATTGAAAAGTGGTATACACTTAGTTGATGGGGATAAATTGATATAAGTACATATCCGTTTCTCCTGTAAAGGACACTAAAAGTTTTTATGTTAACAACATACACTGAAGAAATTATTTTAATTTGATTTTATTAACGAAAAAATACTAACGAGTTAACAGCTAAGTACGGATTTGCACACGATATTACAACTGTTTTTTTATTACTTTAAATAAGATCAAAATCGTTTACCCAGTCTAGGCTGTCATATAGCACATGCGAAGTCAAAAACTACGCCAACGATTGGCAAAACTGCGGCGAGAGACCTTGCACTGAAGAGAACTGGCGGGAAACTATCGAGGGCTACTTTTTCTTGCTGTTTTATTACACACAGAGAACTCTTATTGGAAAAAAACTTTATTAGACTATGAAGTCACGTTCCATTACAATATCAGAAATAACAAGACAGAATATGCCGGTTGCCGAGTCATACATACTCATTAACAAATCAATGTACGAAATTAAGTAGTCCAGAGCAGAGTCATTCCCACTGATATGTGAAAAGGACGCACGAGCCAGCCAGCGGTTCATATATAACTTACTTATCTTATAAGTATAACTTATACTAGGTAAATATCAAGTTTAAGTAATATATAAACGGCATAGACATAGAAGTATATTAATCCAAATTGAAATTAATATTTTTAAAAACAATCTTGTGTTGATTATCTTGGACCAGAGATCTTCTATAGTCAATCCAGACGACTCCAAACCAGGGTTGCGGTACTTGTATACACAGTTCCTATGGCCACCTTCAAGTTCTGGATTTTTATCTCGAATCAAAGTCCTTATTAGAGAAAATCAAACGAGCTAAAATTCGTTGGGTTGCTTTGTTAAATTACATAGGTCCTATGACAGCCTTCTAGCTCTATCATCAGATCATCTCTATTCTATATTGCCATTGCATTGTTGTTTAAGTTATGTATGAATGCATAATTTCATGTGAATCAAAAAGAGGTAAAAAAGTAACTAACACCTCGGTTAAGTGAAAACTTTCAATTAGACTTCTGCAATTTTACTAAAATACATTAGTTAGATTAATTACAAATAAATAAACAAGTCGATGTGGCAGCCCTGACTGACGGGGTCATTCGTTATTTATTATTTCATATGACCGACAATATTTACGTTGAGCGATTGACTTTTTCAACTGATGGCTGCCTAAATTGGACCGGCTCAATGAAAATTCAAATTGAAAAAGTTTGAATTAATTTTTATTGAACTTTCTCTGCTTTTTCTATTTGAATTGAATTATATTTTCAAATGTGTTATTAATATTAGGAATGCTAATAAATGCGATTAAGGAAATCAAGTGAGTATCTTACAGTTCAAAAGGCATAAGTCTTCTATAACAGACAGCGTAGAAAACCGGGCAGAAAACCCCGTATTGGCTACTGTTTTATTTTTGGCCTTTCGAATTTAATTTTATAATATAAAAGATTAATAAGATATAATTTTTTTCTTAATTTTCCATAACTACACATAAGCAGGACTACCTCTTGGCGCCCGCTTATCGTTGAATTTTGGGACACATTGTATTTACTTTACCATGAACGAATCTTAAAATTTTTCATTATTACAAAACAAATCCGTTAACAGCTGTTACGTGCCAAATACCACTCCCTTCTCACTCCTAAAATGGCCAAAACTAGGTCATAATCCCAAAATAACCAAACCTGTCATCTGCCCCCCTGAATGAAAGAATAACTTATTTATTATATATATGTCGCAGTAAGATAGATAAAGCCGTAATATAGTTACATCCCTAGGGATATAATTATATACCGTAACATAGTTATACGGAAGCGATTCATTACTATCTCACTAGGAATATAGTTATAAAGCGGTCCAAGTTTAATAACATAATCATTTAATAATAATGGAAACAAGATAATGAGTTTAGAAGTAATCACCTATCCAGTTGCTGGATCATCTCAAGTCCAAGCGTTCTTATCTGTTATATAATCGGATACCTTATAATAAGCTTTTTTAATAAGTATTTTTTTAATAGTAGATTTAAACTGCATGATATCTAATCGTTGTATTTTGCTTGGGACCTTATTGTAGAAGCGCACACAAAGACCCTTAAACGAGTTATTAACTTTTTACCGTCTAGTGATAGGCACCGTTAATTTATATTTATTTCTTGTATTAAAATTGTGTACATCACTTTTTATAGATCATCAAATCAGTTATTGGCCATATAACTCAGAAAGATACACTCGGCAAGTCTTTTATAATAAACATTTCAAATTAAATACAAAGGGCTTAATCATGTAGGTCAAATAATTATAGATTAAAGAAATTAAGTATCTTAACAATGTCAAGTCGGTTATTTTTACAATAATCAATTTGATCACATAGTCAATTAAATTACAACATTTTAAATTATTATAGAGATATATATAAACAAACATATGGGTATAATACTTATAGGTGATAAAAAGTAAACACTTCAATATGTTTTCCACAGACGTGTTCACATAACAAAAGCTACGTTGCTGCAGCTCGGCGACAGGTTTGAAGTGGAACCAGGAGATGGTGGATCCAGGGAAGGGTACCTGGCTGACCATAAAGTGGAGACCTACCTGATTGTGCCGCCTAAGGTAAACTTTATTTAAAAAACATTAATAGGATTTTTCTTTTTATCATTATCGACGTTTAACGCCGCTTATGACCCACAAGGTTTTTTTTTTTAAAGTTTGTTTAAAAACCCTTTACAAACTTTTAATACAACCTATAAAAGCAATAATAAAGAAATACTGATCGATCCAATCATGATAATTTTTTCACGTAGGCTATAAATTAACGCGAGTGAAGTCGAGGAAAACCGCTAGTCAATAATAGTCAAATATACTGTGAAATATCACTTCTCTACTGAAAGGGGTTACTATCATTCATCAGTTCGTAAGAATTTTTTTTTTGAGAATATCCATGTTTGTTTCTGTTATTCAGAATAGGAAATGAGATTGTTCCAACCAAAAATCAATACAAAACGGTTTTTGCTCGAAATACCGGTTAATTCCGGTCACAGATTTTAGATATTCCATCCATCGATTGCTTTCTCTGCGCCACTTTTTATTAATTAAAAGTAACCAGCCTTCAATGAAGGCTGCTACGCCCCCATTTTTACTTAGAACTAACCAGGACAATCTCAGTGGTTATAGAGCTGATGACTTTCTTGCTCGTTTTTCTTATCAGCCAAAAACGATTGTTACGGAAAAAAATTCAAGTTGGACAATTCAAAAGTACTTTTAAGAAGCCTATTTGAATAAAGATTGTTTTGACTTTGACTTTGAAACAATTACGCTCCGAGCGAGCATTTACAAAAACCCTGGTTAATAATCTTTATGAATCGGTATTTTTCGTACTTTCGTAAGCATTGAAAAAGGGTAGGAATATACATAGTTATCTACGACGTCACATGTAACGAACCGTGGTTAATTGTAAGCACTGCAGGGTTGACTAGGAAAAAAGCTTTCTGCTTTCCCTACTCTAAATGGCTTGAAAGCAATAAGTTTTAGATGTATGTACATGTTTCATTATTGTTATTAATATGAACTAGCTGCTTTCCCGCATAGATTATAGCCTGCCTGCATGCATTACACCTGCGTTTAATGTGGCTTCCCGTAGGTGAAAGAATTTTTTAAATCAGTCTAATATTTTCGGAGTTCAGTAGGTTCTGCCTACCCCATTTTCCAATATATTTTTTACATTTCATAGATTAAAAATTTTGTTATTATTAAAAAATATGTAACTTAATTTCACAAATAACAATGGAACAAGACATTTTGCCAAATAAACAACGAAAAAGGTATAATTAAACGCCGCACAAAGCTAAAGAGTTTCAAGATCCATAATTAAGCCTTAGCAAGTAATTAAATAAGTACTTAAAAAGAAAGGCTCGTTTGTGAAATTGCTATAATTATTGCGTAATTAAGTATTCATTTTACGCTTTGGATTGTTACCATTGTTATTTATATTTAAAACTTTTAGTATGATGTTAAATAATAAGTAAAGAGTATTTCAATATGCCTTTTTCAAAAAGAAAATTAATTAATTTCACGTAAAAATGGAATGAAATAAAAGAGACAACATAAAAATGGATAGTTATGATACATATGGTTGAGTCAACTCAATTTCTTTGCCATAAAAACCGAATAAATTTGATTTTATAAAAAACTAAAAAGACACAATAGATTATTGTAGCTGAGTAGGTATTGTGGAATAGATTCCATCATATCAACTTTGACGTATAGGAACCTCAACATAACGCGAGGCTATTCTACCGCCTTATTGCTTATCCCGAATGTATCGAATATTCAAATCGAGTCCCGTCATTCGATTCGTCGAGCATCGTATAAACTTTTGGATGTACGAAGTAAACCCTCTTACGGTATATGAATCGAATTAGATTTATATGCGTCGATCAATCGCTTCTATTTTATCTTAGCCGATGTCATTTCTTGGTCGTTGATGTATGGTAATTTGAAATTATTATTCTGACGTTACAACTTTGCTACAATATGTTCCCGCAAATAAGGTTTGGTGCAAATTTGACGGAAGATTGGTCCGTTAAATATCTTATAAAAGTATTTCTTAATTCGTAACGTAAGACCAATTGTCACTTCATATAATATGTTTGCTCTGCTATACTGCGACCGACCGCCTTTTGCTTCTGACGTAACCAAAGACTAAAAGTATATATTAGGACTAAACCTTTAAAATATGATGTTGTTATTCGATTTTTAAATACAGTTTATTTATTTACCATTAGTTTACCATCGATTTGTCTCTGCTAATTGGAGGAGCTTGATCAGACAGTGGCGTAGTTTTCGACTTTCACAAGTGCTCTGTATAAGCCTAAACTTAATAAACAATTTGATTTGATTTAATTTGAGTGATAAGCACGCTTTTTTAGGTGGTTGGGTAAAAATAAGTGGGCAAAAAGTAATTATCTCGAGCTCAAATTCCGTCTTTGATACCCAATCTCCATAATAACAATCCAAGTAGTGGCCAGTTCTCCTCTTTTATTTCCCTCTGGCAATGCCTGTGCGTGTTCTGGCAATGAGTTTATTATTAGACTCATGATGATGATGTGACTCCTAAAGTGGTGTGAAATTTAATAAATATCTTAGTTTAATGGCTATTTATTACATGGAATTTCCGCAAGATAACGCCTGATTAAAGTTTGCAGTCATTCATGTTACGCATTCAGGCATTAAACTTAAAATACCAACAGTCGAGAGAGCCAAAACATTTCGTTGCAAAACGAGAACATCTTGTGAATACAGTGGAAAGCGATTTTTCATAATAGATCTGATTATTCGTGCCACTATTTTCCACTTTTAAACAGATTAGAAGCGAAACTAAATAATCTCACAAATTTTGGAAGTTCAAAGTGAAAAGCAGCTCTAAAGTCCCCGTTACTGACCTAAATTGCATATATTTTTTTAAGATTAAACTGGTTACAAAGCAGAGCTACTTAATAGGCCAACTATGTAAAGGTCGTGTAGACCCAAAGGGTGGCATGAAAATAAACGCGAAAGAATCTTAAATAATCCAATTAAATTAACAAGAAAGATAGACACTTTTCTGAGGAATCGTTAAGGATTATTTATCTTAATTTTAGGCTAACCCCGTGAGATTAGAATAATTAATAAGACTACGCGAGTTCCTTTCTTGCTAGTTAAGAAAATGTTAAATATTTTCATTAAATATTAGAAAAAGTTACTAAAAAAATATTTATATATCAGTATAAATTTACTGTTGAGTTATTAGTTTAGAATCCTAACAATAAATTTGCTAAAAAGGTAATTTAAAGGCATCAGACAAGTTCATAAATTAATATTTTATAAACTTGAGGCAAAAATAATCTACCGATATTATCTTCTTTTACACATATCTCTCGCCTCACATATCTGAACTAACAGGACATGATGTCGTTAAATTTTTAATGTTGGGGACATTTTCATTCTGGGATTTTTTTAATCTTCATAACGAATGTCGTCCTCTAGCGTTGCTTCTCCAATTCTACGCATACGCAATTGTTTTTATGCTATTTGCATACTGATTCTGACATCTCTTGTTTCGATAAGTTGGCCTTGGGATCAGCACCGCGATGCTTTAAAAATCAGAACTCGAATTCAAATTCACTCACATCTCCGAATTCACTTCAAAAGCGTCATCAGCCTTTTGTGGTATGTTTAAGTGAAGTGAGTTTCGAAATGAAATAGGAATAGAATATCTGAGAAACGTATGAATTAATAAATTATGTTTTGTATTTTTATAAAAAAAAAATGAACTAATACAATTTTTACACTAAATGACGTGAATTCAGACGCAGAAGTGAATTCGAATAAGGGATCGGAATTTTTATAGAATCTCTTCCCAGTACCGCTTTGTTTATATTAAACTTTACTTCTAAATTAATGAATTCTTTAATTTCTTTAATAGTAAATAGTAAATATAGGTATGTTGTATCTCCTTGAAATGCAACAACTGAACCAGTAAACATTATAACGTTGAATCGCAGTAATATTTAAATTAGCACGCGAAATGGATATTAAAGTAAATTAAAGCACCCGGAGCGTTAATTACATCTTTAAAAATTATGGCTTCAGGCATCGACGAAAGTAAAATATGCTGAAGGATTTTCATTTCCTTTAGTAAATAAATAAATTCTCCTATTTAGAAGGTAACTACTTCAAACTCGTTTTCATTTTAAAATAAAAATAGTAAGCAATATTAATAATAATCGAACTAACAACCAATCAGAAAGTAGAGATGTCGCTACTGTATGAAAATTTGACCCAACCGAAACATACACTCTTTAACAATGTAATGCTACTCAAACTGGCATTGATAATGCATAGCCTTCATGATGTATTAGTGCCTCTGTATTAAAGTAATACAATCGAAACCATTAAAAGTGTTAAGTGTATCATTTAACTTGTAAATAATACGTATATTTATTACCTACATAAAATATATCGATTTTGAATGCTTGAAATTTAATGATCATCCTCAGTCAGCTCATCAGCGTCCTTGCTTTTGAAGCACATGTCTTCCCCATGGATATAATCTAATATGAGAACATACTACAATACACAAGACAGGCTTATTAAGGGTGAGTGAGTATTAAGTACTGCAGATGCAGCCGAATTCCACGACTTTATAGTAAATCCAAAGCACGATGAAGCTAAGAGATAATAAATTCTTGGTCATCCACCCTATGACAGGCCTTTTCGAAAGTTCTTTAACCTCCGCATCGCAGACAGCACGTATTAATAATTGCTGGCATATTGGATATCACTTTTAATTTCAAAGAAATCTGACTCTTGTCAAACTATAGCTATATCAAGTTCAGTAGCATCAATAACGATCCTCGATATAACAGTACTGAAACAAAGTTTACCGGTTATCCCAAATACAATCAAGAAGACAAGTTTGATCTCTTGATTAAATTACGGTCGGTCTAAGCACTGACTAATTCAACTGCTCACTTCGGAACGCTGATAACTTGATGTTGTTTCCCCTCAGGGCGGAAATGGCAAACACTAACTAATATCATTACGCAGAAGCGTCGATGCCTGCTAGTTTTGTACCTTTGGATTTGATATGACGTGACATGTGTATATGTTATTAATATTATTAGATTTGTCAGTTGGTATATTTTATTTAATCGATAGACTGAAGGAGGTTTATGTTACATTTTGTGATAGTTTTGTTAGTAAACTTGATTCTAATAGTTAGACTTGAATATAAAGATTAATTCTCGGATCATAAAAATTGCATGAGTCTAAGGTATATCTTTGCATATAAACTTCTTAACATGTACGTTATAAAGACATGATTGACCACATAGAAATAAAAAAAAACTTACAAAATATAATGACGAACATTACTGTCACTGTTTGAATAACGGACATTTAAATAGGTATGTGTCTAAAAATATCAGAATTTCAGTTTCCTGGGACCTATATCCATATATATAATTATTTGCGTTACTGACTGACTGACTGACAAACAACGTACAGCCGAAATTACTGAGCGTAGAAAGTTGAAATTCGGAATGAAGATTCCTTAGGGAGTGTAGAGGGGCACTAAGTGAAGACTTCTTTACTATAAGTGCAAGAAGTTTCAAATTTTGCATGCAGGTTCATTTTGGGACGTAGGTGCTCACTATGATGGAATTTTACGAAATTCAACCCCTTAAGGGGTAAATGAAAGGGAATGAAAGTTTTATGGAATTTTCTCATTTCGGGACTTAAATCTAGACCACGCAGGCAAAGTCGCGGGCAAAAGCTAGTAAATAAAATAAAGACAAAGACCATTCATGTGCTTAAACACTTAAAGTCCCATTATAAAAAAATATACATAAGTAAGTGTATTCTCTTTTAATTTATTATTCTATGACGAAGAAAATCGTTCCGTTTGTTATTGGAGTCGAAGGTATTCTTTGGTCTTAGGTAGGATAAGCAGCTTAACTAATAGTTAGACGGAATCGCTTCCATCGAACCCAACTTTCAAGTTAAAGTTGTTAAAATCGAAGAGATTTTCTAAATGACTTTGATCGTTTTAAATGATGTGACCCACTGAAATAGCGAAGTCAAATTATACATAAAACCCCTTTTCCTTTGATTATGAACGGTAACTTATGTTCTTTCCCAAAGACTATTCTATCTCTACACTAAATTGTATCAGTTCAGTGGTTTAGGCGCGAAAACGTAACAGATATGCATACATTTTAAATATTAGGTCCTTACATATGAAATACATGGTATGGGAGGAACAAAAAGTCGAATATTTTTTTATATAAAATATTTATATAGGTTAATCAAAGTATATTTAATCAAAGTATAAATCTCTGTTATATATGCACTTTTGCCAACTTACAGGTCGTTCATTGATCCCCTTACTAAAAAAATGGTAATCTGAAAAAAATGGTGTCCGGGGAGTACGGTGGATGTCTTAGATATTCAAATTGAAGATCTTCTAATTTGGTAGCCGTCTGTTGTGCAGTGTGTGGTCTAGCGTTGTCGTGAAGTAGCATTGGCGTAGAGCGATTGACCAGCCTCGGTTGTTTAACAGCTAGTTTTTCCAGCATGGTTTGCAATTGCTGACAATAGACGTCTGCCGTAATCGTCTGGCCAGATTTGAGAAAATTGTAATGAACGACACTGGCACTAGTCCACCAAACGCTTACAAGTAACTTTTTGGGGTCAATTTGGTCCAACCATTGCGATGAGTGCTTCTGATTATCGTAGAGAAACCACTTTTCTTCACAGGTAATGATGCGATTTAAAAACCCTTAATTATTGTGCCGGTTAAGTAAAATAACACAACAGTCGAAGCGCGTTTGTTTTACTCAATTCGTGAGGTACAAGCTTTTAATCTTTCCAATTTGCTTCAAGTGGATTAAAACAGTTTTATCAATAACACCGCAGCCTGCACTTTTATCTCGGACGTGATTTGCGATGGATCCGCTTCCACAATAGCCTTCAATTCTTCATTATTAACTTGGGTCTCCGGCTGTCCACGTGGCTTGTTCTTCAGGTCGAAATTTCCTGAACGAAAACGTTGGAACTAAAAACGCACTATGTTTTCTTTTGCGACACAACCGCTATACATCATTAACCCTTCGAGCCGTTTCCGCAGCACTGGTACCACGCTGGAACTCGTACTCGTAAATAACACGATATTTCAAGTTTTCCATTTTTCATACTGGGTGACGTAAATAGGACAAACAGAAGAAAAAAAAAAACAAATGAATGCCGCCTAACGAAACACAAATACATGTGTATAAATTTGAATTTCGAATTTCCAACCAAGGAGGAGAAATTTGTGATTCAAATGGCCAGAACAACAAAACGCCAATTTCATATGTAAGGACCTAATATTACTAAGGTTTCCATTTGTGTTTTTATAATTAATGAGTTTACTTTTAATCTCCATATAACTTAATCGCATACGGTTGAAAAGAATTCGTATGTTATGTCTCTTCACTACCACCATTTCTTCCACGTCCTAATTTAATGTTTCAGTATATTTCGGGCTATTTTATCATTACTGTGTGTAAATTCAAGTACAAGAACTCTGAAAACAAATATTTGCACAAGTAAAATGTTTCGCAGGTGCCTATAAATATATTAACATTATTGTTTTTGGCCAAAAGGTTTCTGTTATTGTAGGGTTCTGGGTTTCGCCCGATGTATTTATTGAAAGCAATTTCGCCCTTATTAAGATTTCCCTGGAAATTAATTGCATTGTAAATTTATTTTGGACCTCCTTGATGTTAGATAAATACGAGTATGAATATTATTGCTTGATTATTTGATAGAGAGGTTTTTTTGTCAGTACTCATTCGAATTGAATTTGCAATTTATCAGTTTAAAATAATTAAAGCAATGATAAAAGAAAAACAACAGTAAAAATGCTAGATTACAAGGATTATGTACACATTTATCAATGACAGACAAATATAAGGGTAGTGAAGTTTATGACATTCTTGTAAACGTTGTGCTCATAAAACCATTTTTGTATATCCTTAATATCACCATGGTCGCCATACAAGCACCTTCCCGTTCCCTTTACAGTGCTGCGATGGATGGTAGAGGATGGTACAAAAATACTTGAAAGCCAATTGATCTCAGAGTGACTTCTGATTTAACTAGTATAGAGATTTTTTTGTTTTCGATCATAGGTTTATGTCTAACAAAATTCAACTTATTTAAACTTAACTAGCTAATGTACAATCATACAGATTTAAATATTCCACCTCTTTTATTACAGAAACCAGGTGCTTCAGAAAATGGTCGTCTATCAGTTTGCACAGTAGACCGCAAAGCGAGCATAGTCTCTTCTATATATCAGGAAGTATCTCCAACCAAGCACAAGAACAGCATCAGCCCTGCCCCATCGCAACATAGCTTTGTAGATGAAGGACCAAAGGTGTTGAGAACGGAATCGTTGAGGATGGCAGGTCCTGGAGGTGAGAACTCTGTACAATGCTTCAAGTTTGGATATGGATTTTAAAATAAAGGACTTTTGAAAGATCGTATTTCGATCTAAAAGATCTATAAGATTTTTTAATTGTTTATGATCACCTAATTTACAAACTGTAGACAAACCTAAACAATCAGTTATTTATGGTTCACCAACTACAAACCGTTTGGCTAAAACATATAACTAAATCAATATTTAAATACTCAAAGAACATAACAACATTTACTCAAGTTTCAGACTTAAGTAGAAGAGCTTCGGTTAAAGTGGATGGTCCAAAAACCGTAGCGTTTGATCCTAACAATGCAGCTTCTAATCCCGCTGAAGGGATTGGTAATGGAGCTGTGGTCACTGCAAAGCCAAAGAGTCGTAGTGGATCTATTATAGGAGCAATCAGTCCAATTATGGGAACAGGTAATATACATATGTGGATAAAATGTACACCCACGTTTTTGGTATTTGTAAGAATTAAGATAAACAATGTTATTCAAGAGATAGTACTGTTATAAATACATCGAGGCATTGTCAGTAGTTATTTAATGAATATTATTATTTTGCCTTTTTGTCATAATAAATAATAAGATGGTAGTTAAATTTAAAGATAAAAAGTTATCTGATAGTACACATGATTAATAAAATATGTTATAATGAGAATATCAAAAAGGTTATGTGACCAAATACTATAAAAATAGGTTTTACTTGTTTTTTTGTTGTTAATTTTCTTTTTTATTCTACATTATCTAAAATGAGTTTATTTTTTTCTTAATTCAGAGGATCAGTCTGAGGACTCGCCTCCTCCTTCTTCTACCACATCAGAGACTTTGCAACCGTTTCCTTCTTTCCTTAGGTTGCTAAGCACGATATCGGTGGAATCTTTAAGTTAGTCGAGTTTAGTATAAGCATTTTCTTTGTCCCGTTTATACCATTGCAGTATTTATTATTTATATAATTATTAACCGTTTAAATTTTTTTATTTAATTATTGCATATTTATGTGTTTTTAAAGATATTGTTAACATTTTTTTACTTTACAGCATGTATCGACAACAACAAAGTTATCAATCCTATTTGTTTTTATAGCGAATGTTAGTTACTACAAATTTGGTTTTCTCATAGACCCATCTTTATACATAACTGCCATCACAACTGAAATGTTTTCCAGCCATTCCTTAAATGTCTTTGTTATAATTTTCACCATTCTATCAGAATTACATTAAAAAATTTAAAGATTTGACATTTATGGTTTTTGGTTTGGTTTTACATTATTATTATGTTCAAAATATTTGTCACCTCAATGTGATTATTTAAAATAATTTTATAATATATTTCAGCAACCCCTGGAGTACCCAGTAGATCGCGACCATCGAGTAAAATGACTAAATATGTTGAATGTTGGGGAGCAGATAAACCTTTTGCGAATATAACCGATTCCACTCTTGCCAAAAATATTGGAATATCAGTAAGTTGTTCTACTTTATCTATAATTTGTAAATTTTCCGTCAGTGGCTTCAACCGCGTGGTCTTGTATGATAAGTAAAAACTTTCCTCTTCAATCACCTTATCTACTAAAAAAACCGCATCCAAAATCCGTTGGGTAGTTTTAAAGATCCAAGCATACATAGGAACAGACGATGTTCTATACAATGTAATTGATTTGTAACCATTTTTAAAGTAACTTTTATATCTACTTTCTTAATTCCTTGTTTTATTTTTAGAGTTTAGCAATGATAGAACAGAATCTATTACCGCAAAGGACTACATGTTGTGATTGCAGGTTAGTATTTAAAAAAAAGTCTTATTTTTATAGATATAGTTAATATAAATATATTATAAAAGCGCCTTCCAAAGGCTTGGCAAACAACAAAGAAGAACAAAATATAAACAGAAAAATTATTATGATTTGAGTTTTGAGTAGGTTTTATCAATTGTTTAACATCGAGTAAACAAAAGTGTTAAACCTATTATATTATACGTAATCTTTTACAATAACGTTTTTTATTAAACTATTGTATTTTTAAGCATCAATATTTAAAAAATATCAGAAAATAAGTTTTCATATACGTTTTATCTAAACCTGATTTCATAATTCTTCGTCCATACATTTGACATTAAAAGGGCGTAGAAAATGCTTGCTTTACGTATAAACATTATAATGATTATTATTCACAGTAATAACGCCGAGGGTATGAACCGAGTCACACTCTGGTTCAAGAGCAGCTCTCAGGAACGTCAATACCGGGCGCAGCCAGACTCGCAGTTCAAATACAACGTGGCGTGTGCTGCAGCCATATTTATATTGTTGGCGTTTATACAACTGCTAACTGTACAAACGTAAGTTTAAGTAATTTAACGATATATATTCACACCAACAATGATATTCTTTTATAAAAAGAGTTCAAGACTGTTTTTAATAGAGTAGCATAATTAATCTCTTGCTGAGAAGAGATAGAAAACCGATCACCAGAATACATAGTCTTTACATAAATTTATCTTTTAACACTTTTCTTATATATTTGCCTGTCTTTATGAATTCTTTTATCACCTTCCTATACGCGATCAATTTGATCAAGAATGGTGTATCTTGGGCTCTCACGGACCCTACATCGTTCCGTTTATGTTGTATATCAGTATCGTCATTAGTTCATCTGGATTTTTTCCATATTTGAATGAACGGGACAAGACTCTGTTGACTTTTACACCGACACTGTACACATAAAAAGATTTTTCTATGTTATTCGAGACTTATTAAAATACCCTAACCACTAAGTCCATTGTATGACACAAACGGCAGTCATATCTTATCGTTAATAAAATTTATTCTTATTACAGAATCATCGAATAATATTGAAACTTTAATAGATAACCCAACTGTTCATACAAAATTAATGAGTTTAGCCACTTAATTGGAAATCAAATTATTCTATTTACTTTCAATCATCGTAGATTTACCTATTGGTGAAGAGTAACATTTTGGTACAAAAATTTAGGGAAATTATATATTGATGGTTCGGCTATATTTTATTATTCTAGGTGATATCTCAACCTCATAAAGTAGCCAATCACTATCCAGAAAACTGTTTCCTTACAATAGCGAAATTCCTCTCTTCAAAATATTATCAGTGTAATATTTGTTCTTTCAGGGGTATAGTGTTGTACGCGTCGTTTGGACCAACGTTTATAACACTGATCGTATTCGTGTACTTATCGTGGTACGACGGTCATATGTTCCGGCGGGGTATGCATCCGCTATCCGATGTTCCGCCTGACGATTTGTACGCCGACGACTGCACCAAGCCCGGCCAGGTGGGTAAAAGGTATTCTGTTTCCTAACTTTAATATACTCTGTAATGTGTCCAATGTCACATCGAAAGTGCCTTAGCCGCATTATATTTTCCCTGGAATATAGCAACCGTGGATATAGAATGATTACTAGTAAATATAGAGTGCATTCACAAGTTGTAATGCGTAAGAAATAACTGCACATCAAATATTCGTATTCAAAAAAATCTTCAAAAAATAAAAATAATTAATATAAGTTCATTCAAAGTCCTATAAAAACAGCGTCAAGTGAATGTAATTTCATCCACGCTAGTAGAGAAAATTCTAGTAAGCGGACAGTAATAGCTTTATTTCTAAAGACTAATGACCGCACCGTGTTCATTTAAGTCGACAAAAGTATCTTGTAAGCCGAAAGCTAAAATCTCAGTTAATCCCTAAATCAAAAAAAAGTGGAATATATTAAGACATAAGTTTCATAATTGAGAATGTAATTTTGAGAGAGCCTATTATTTATTTATACAGTAGTCAACGATCACGACGTTACATATAATTTAGGTTTATGCTTCATTCAGTCAAACACTTCGTGAAAGTCTAATTATGAAGATCGTATTTTAACTTTAAATTTTAGTATTGTTCATTGCGGTTTGACAGTATATTGTTCATCGTTACAATATATTTTTATTTATGTATATCTCATCGTGCAATTTTTCTTGAAATAATGCTACATGGATTATATTTTCATGGATTGTAACAACTGATTTATGTAGTTGATTATAAAGTGAAGTATAATCTGTTTTTCTTTTTTCAAAATATTAAGTGTTGTGCTCTGACAGATGGATACAGACTGTTCTAACTGACACTCATATAACCAAGTAATCCTTTATGGGTTGTTGGCGATTCTGAAAAAATCCGAACCCGAATTTGAATTCACTGATGTGTCTGAATTCACGTGTTTAGTGAGCAAATTCTATTGATTTCATTTTTTGTATAAAAATACAAAATAAATATTTATTTGATTATACGTGTCTCAGATATTATATTTCTATGTCATTTCGAGACTCACCCCACTTATGCCACGAAACATTGTTACTAATTCGACATTGAGCGGATGCCACTTTTTGATGAATTTGAATTCAGGTTTGAATTTTTACAGAATTGCAGGGCTGATTACCTTTATGAGGTTTGGACCTTGAAAGTGACCTTTTGATCACTATTCTATTATAAATCTCAAATGTTCTTAAATAGTAATATCTAAATGTAGCACTTAATGGGTTTCAGGTGGTTTCCAACAATCGAATCATCAGGCTGACCATTTTCTTCGTATCAGTACTTCTGATTGGTGCATGTGCGGTCATTAATTTGGTGAGTTAAATTGAAATACTATTTAGAATAATCTTTTATAGATTCGTAGTCGTTTTATAATGTCAACTTTTAGAATAATTACCTCCGACTACGGCAAAGCGAAAAGGAGGGTATGATTTTGACTGGTATATATGTATGTAAGAATGTTCATCTGTTTCCTTATAACTTCGAAACTACTCATCGTAACTAGACGAATGAGGTATCATTAGAAGGGCCTTAGTTATTCGCGTGCTATAGGCTATGACGTTACATTAAATTGGAATCAGTTCCGTCTAGAGAGCATAAAGTAAGAAACTTAATAATACATTATTCAGTCAGTAGGGTATCATATAAAAAGTGCTTAATTATTACATTTCAAATATAAATATGCATACATTGATAGCTTTTGCTTGCGATTTTGCTAAAATGCACCCGAAAATTAATTAAATATAAAAATTTCTTCAAAAAACCAAACCCCGACTACAGCTAAATCACACTTTAAAAAGTTTGCATCGTGAAATTTATTTTATAACTATATTATAATAGCGATTACCAAAGGACAGCGTAGTCATATGCCACTGATCATAACAAAACAAACTGTTGTTGTTGTAATTTAGCAGGTTTTAGTTTTCGTAACGTGGTCCTTAACTGCTGGCCTCTTAGAGAAGCTCAGAGTCGCTCAGCGAGGCATGGAGAGAGCTATGTTAGGGGTTTCTTTGCGCGATAGGATTCGAAACGTGGATATTTGCCAAAGAACTAGAGTGACCGACATAGCTCGCAAAGTTTGTAAGCTGAAGTGGCAGTGGGCAGGCCACATCGCTCGACGAACCGATAACCGATGGGGACGAAAGGTTCTCGAGTGGAGACCACGAACCGGAAGACGCAGCGTGGGTCGACCCCCGAATAGATGGACGGACGACATCGTCCGAGTCGCGGGCGGCCGCTGGATGCAGCTGGCGCAATGTCGTCCGTCGCGGCGTTCAAAGGGGGAGGCCTATGTTCAGCAGTGGACGTCTTCCGGCTGATGATGACATATTTTTTTAGTCTGCAGATTCGAGTTTCTACGAGGTTCTAGTAGTAAATTATTGCTAGACGATTAGCTACAAATCTCTTGCTATAAAATATTACTTTTTAGGATGTCTCCATCTTTTCCATTCTTAAACCACAAGTGTCTTTGAGATTTATTTTACTCAGTTTAGAATACCTATCTCATGTCATGTACAATACTTTTCATTTTATTCTTCAACAGTTTCAGCCAAGTATCGTGGAAGATATTATATCGGTGGAAACGCGTAACGAATCAGATCAATGGAACAACACTGACGAAATATTATCTAACGTCTTATACACCGACGTCAATATACCTCCCGTAAGTATTTTATAGATTATAAATTATCGTATATTAGATATAATAATATTATAAAGAGGAACAGATTTGATTGTGTGTATGTTTGTTTGTTTGCATCGAATATACTTCAAAACTACACAACGGAATTTAAAAATTCTATAACTTACGGGTAGCTACATGAAACGAGTTTAACATATGCTGTATTTACGCATGCGATGTTGCAGGACAAGAGCTAGTATTAGATAAAGATATTAGCAAATAGGAGATTAATAATATTGTCTTTATAAAAGATAATGGGATGATATGGCTAAAGAAAATATGATAATTGATATAAATAGGAAGTTAGGTATAAATAATGTAATTAGGAGGACATAAACAACATTGAATCCAAAGCGAAAGCGAAAGTGAACCAGGATTATTATTACAAAAATTCAATCACGAGTGATGTCATTGATTCCTACCGTCCAGATGTATGGTAGAGGCGTGAAAGTTTACAAAATTAATAGAGTGAGTGATGAAAAATGGCCAAAACTACAAAATTAATAAATTCAGAGTACTGGAAGGAAGCAAATTAGGACCTATATTATTTCTAACATATTACGTGTAGTATAGGTATACATCTTTGACTCTTTTATATAAGGATAATAACAAAGCTATGGTTTTAATGACAAAAAGACTATGAAATTTGACAAGTTTGGTCATTTTCAATGTTATATATATGGTTATAACAACTGAATAGTATTACTTCAAAAAAAGTTTCTAAACTAAATGTTCTAAGATCTTAATACACCTTTTTCTTAGCAAATAAATACTTTAACTTTCAGAGTTACCTGTACAGCTCCGTGTTAACTCTGGCGTCCATCTCGGTGTTCTTCCGCGTGGGATTTGTGTTGAAGATGATCATGATGGCAGCCACACTCGCCACACATATCGCCCTCTTTGCTTGCGCTGAACAACTTAATGGTTATCAGGGAGATATGGAGTAAGTGGATGTAGAACAGACGGACTGTTACAATATTTTAACTGGATCCTTGCCTCGTCAATCTAAACAACAATCACTTTTATTCGAGTCAGCTGTAGCAAAAGTTAAGCAACTTTTAGACAGATGTTAGGAAGTGAGGAAGTATGTTTATAAGCTATTTTAGGCAGTTGGTCCTGGCTATATCTTTAGTTATTAACAGTCATTAATCCGTACTAAGAATCCTCGGTGTGCTATGATTATTAACAACAACACCTATCTTCTATGTTTGTAAAATTTGGGAGTATAACAAGTGATAACAGCTTATTGATTGATGTGTTTAGGTTCAGTATGTTACCGTATGCGGCGCGAGCGGGGATAGCGTTGGCACTAGTGGGCGCTCTTTTATTGGTCAGTATAATATTGTTTATATAATTCGCTGTGTTATGTGGTTTCACCAGCCGTTACTTGAATTCTATGTTTATTCTTCTTTTAGAATATACTCAATATTGCATATTTTACAAAGTATAATACAATTACATTTCTCAAAAAAAAAACCTAGTGTTATGTAACATTTGTAAATTACTCCACCAGGTATTAGGCCGTCAAATAGAATTCACATCGCGTAGCGATTGTCTCTGGAAAGATAAACTGAAGTTGGAGCAAGAAGAGGTTGAAACTATGCGCGGTATTAACAAGGTAAATTTCATATTAATAATAATAACCTTTATTTCACTTTTAAAATTACAGACAATGGTAACTATTTTAAGAGATTACAAGGAAGTTACATAATAAAGTAATATGAGCCACATCTCCCAAACTAGGGTCAACCTGAATTTTGGGAGTTGTTGTATTCTGTAGGAAATAGAGCTTAAAATACCTCAGCTCCGTTCTAACAGCTGAAGCTTATGTAGCTGAAGATATGAACCAGGATGGATAGAGTGGCAATGCTTGTTAGATAAACACTAATAACAGTAAAGACGTAATGAATAAACATAAAGAAAATATATAATCGACTTCAAACTTTAAAAAATGATTTATTTAGGCGCCCGACTTCAATTGCATTGTCTTAAATAAAACGCTTGTAAAATACATAATACTTATCACTTATTACATATAACCTCCTCCTTTTCGATTTTGGAGTCAGTAAAAAATTTATAAAACCGCAATAAAGCCCGCCACGCTATATGCGGAATGCTGGACTGCCCGAAGGAAAGAAGCAAGAATAACAACTTATGCAGTTGCAGTTGCAGCAGAGATAAAGATACTAAGATTGGCAAGTGATATAAAGCGATTAGTCCAGGTTATAATCGTCAGGGGATCATTTAAAGTAACCCTAATACTCGTAAAGCTCAATGAAAGAAGTCACCTCCGTTGTTTATATATCCAAGAAACGGTGACTACTCTGTGAAGTGCTTAATATCAACACATAGCTGAAAGTTAGAGGCAGAGTGTTTGCTATATTGTGGCCAAATATTGAAAGAGATCTAAAAACACTGACCTTTAACATCGGAGACAAAATTTCCTGGTTTTGACGCATGAGGATGAACTACATGAACTTACATGGACTAGAACAAGGGCAGTGAGAAGAGGAAATATAACTAAATTAAAAGAAAAATAAAATATTACTTTTTCAAGCAGTAAATCGCTTTACATAAAATTATAGTTAATATTTAATGATGTTCGTTTTCATTATAGATTCTTCTGGAAAATATACTACCGGCTCATGTGGCGGAACATTTTTTAACATCAGTCGCTTCTGAGGTGAGAATTGTTGATGTACACAATGAAAGCCTTTTGGCAATTTTCAAAATATTGAAATTTTCCATTTGCAAAACCGTTTTAACATGTACAAAGCTTATAAATATTAGTACACTGTCAGATTAGTTATATGTTTTTGTTCCTACCGAAACTCTTGAGTAGCTAACTCAAGAGCCAAGATGCAAGTTGTGACTATATAAGGTAACTTTAGGTCTCGCCGTTTTAAAAATAAATCTCGTAAAACTTAAACTTTAACTTTATACTAATGAAGTAAAGATAAAGACTATTATTTACTACATTAGGATTTTAATTGATTTACAGGAAGACTTATATCATGAACGCTATTCAAGTATTGCAGTGATGTTTGCTTCGATCCCTAACTATAAGGAGTTCTACGATGAAACGGACGTTAATAAACAAGGACTCGAGTGCCTCAGGTTACTCAACGAAATTATTTGCGACTTCGACAAGGTACACTATTGGGTCCAGTTTTATTTATCGAACTATATAGATGAAGAATAGATGTATAACTTTGTGATTTTGTGTAAATATAAATATGTGTAAATATAATGGTTGTCTTATTTTTGTGTTTTTCTTTGCTACTTCAGTTTAAGATGATAATTATGTTTGCATTTTTTTTAGTTACTACTTAAGCCGAAATTTAGCTGCATAGAGAAGATAAAGACAATAGGCAGCACCTATATGATCGCGTCCGGCTTGAGACCTGGAAAAGAAGAAAAGCTGGTAAGCTATTTTGAATTTGTTTTATTAATATACACATCTGTGACTTATATACTTATATTCTATTAGGCTGTTGCAGCAAATATTGTGAAGTCCATAATTCCACAATTCAAAAGGCTAAATCACATTCGTATATTAGCTGAAACGCAAGTAGGGAAATAACATTGTAATAAAAATACAAAGTATTTTAATGAAAAATGCTTAAAAATTTACTTTGTTTCTGGTACTCTGAGATGTGATTTTTACGCATTTTTCATTAAAATATTTTCCAGTATAGCATTGTGAATGCAAAATTTATCAAATATAATAAAAATAGAAAGTATTTTTCCTTGTGCTATATTAAGGTATATGGAACGCGAAAGAACGTTGGTTTCGAATTCGATCTTGGGGACCTGAGATTGATGGATTTATGGCTAGCTTCTTTATAATTAAAAAAATGCGTTAATAATACTTTTGAGTAGCTTTTAAATTTTTCTTAAATTATCCTCAATGAAGTTAATATTGTCTATTAGTTAATCAATAACTGTTAATGGTTGCATTGATAATTTAAATATACAAAAATAAATTATTTATAAAAAGTTTTTGTTTCATAACTACAGGATGCAAATAGGAAAGAGGAACACACCGTCGCGATACTGGTTGAATTCGCTGTGGCGCTAATGGCGATACTCGACCAGATCAACCGAGAGTCATTCCAAAGGTTCAAACTAAGGATAGGTAAGCTACAGCAGTTTTTTTTAATATTATTTCAATTTTTTATTGTTATGTGTCATATCATTAGTTAAACCAAAACACAGAATGTCATCATTTTCATCATGATTTACGATCATAACCTTTGTTTTACCAGTATTAATCTTTAATTCACATATAACGAGAACACAATCCATTCTTTGAAGCAGTGTACGGTTCACACTACATACAAAGAGGATTGTCACGTATGTGCAGCGTAGATTTACAGCAACATCGCAGCCACCAGTTTCAGCACCGTCCACTCTTACACATTGAGAAGGTGTGGTGACAGTATACATATTTATCGACATCTGCACTGGATTTGAAATCAACTGAAATACCTCATTTGACTGAATCAATGCTGTGATTTCTTCAGCACTTTTGAGAAGTTAACAAAAATCATGAAAGTCTGACATTAAAAATGAATAGTTGTATTTGAATCTGTGACGCAGGCCTGAACCACGGGCCGGTGATAGCGGGCGTGGTGGGCGCGCAGAAGCCGCAGTACGACATCTGGGGCAACACCGTCAACGTCGCCTCGCGCATGGACTCCACCGGCCTCATGGGCCGCGTGCACGTCACCGACCACACCGCGCAGTGCGTACACTACACTACATTACACTATACCACACTACACTACACATCTGGGGCAACACCGTCAACGTCGCCTCGCGCATGGACTCCACCGGCCTCATGGGCCGCGTGCACGTCACCGACCACACCGCGCAGTACGTACACTACACTACATTACACTATACCACACTACACTACACATCTGGGGCAACACCGTCAACGTCGCCTCGCGCATGGACTCCACCGGCCTCATGGGCCGCGTGCACGTCACCGACCACACCGCGCAGTACGTACACTACACTACATTACACTATACCACACTACACTACACATCTGGGGCAACACCGTCAACGTCGCCTCGCGCATGGACTCCACCGGCCTCATGGGCCGCGTGCACGTCACCGACCACACCGCGCAGTACGTACACTACACTACATTACACTATACCACACTACACTACACATCTGGGGCAACACCGTCAACGTCGCCTCGCGCATGGACTCCACCGGCCTCATGGGCCGCGTGCACGTCACCGACCACACCGCGCAGTACGTACACTACACTACATTACACTATACCACACTACACTACACATCTGGGGCAACACCGTCAACGTCGCCTCGCGCATGGACTCCACCGGCCTCATGGGCCGCGTGCACGTCACCGACCACACCGCGCAGTACGTACACTACACTACACTACACTATACCACACTACACTACACATCTGGGGCAACACCGTCAACGTCGCCTCGCGCATGGACTCCACCGGCCTCATGGGCCGCGTGCACGTCACCGACCACACCGCGCAGTACGTACACTACACTACACTTACACTATACCACACTACACTACACATCTGGGGCAACACCGTCAACGTCGCCTCGCGCATGGACTCCACCGGCCTCATGGGCCGCGTGCACGTCACCGACCACACCGCGCAGTACGTACACTACACTACACTACACTATACCACACTACACTACACATCTGGGGCAACACCGTCAACGTCGCCTCGCGCATGGACTCCACCGGCCTCATGGGCCGCGTGCACGTCACCGACCACACCGCGCAGTACGTACACTACACTACACTTACACTATACCACACTACACTACACATCTGGGGCAACACCGTCAACGTCGCCTCGCGCATGGACTCCACCGGCCTCATGGGCCGCGTGCACGTCACCGACCACACCGCGCAGTACGTACACTACACTACACTACACTATACCACACTACACTACACATCTGGGGCAACACCGTCAACGTCGCCTCGCGCATGGACTCCACCGGCCTCATGGGCCGCGTGCACGTCACCGACCACACCGCGCAGTGCGTACACTACACTACACTACACTATACCACACTACACTACACATCTGGGGCAACACCGTCAACGTCGCCTCGCGCATGGACTCCACCGGCCTCATGGGCCGCGTGCACGTCACCGACCACACCGCGCAGTGCGTACACTACACTACATTACACTATACCACACTACACTACACATCTGGGGCAACACCGTCAACGTCGCCTCGCGCATGGACTCCACCGGCCTCATGGGCCGCGTGCACGTCACCGACCACACCGCGCAGTACGTACACTACACTACACTACACTATACCACACTACACTACACATCTGGGGCAACACCGTCAACGTCGCCTCGCGCATGGACTCCACCGGCCTCATGGGCCGCGTGCACGTCACCGACCACACCGCGCAGTGCGTACACTACACTACATCTACACTATACCACACTACACTACACATCTGGGGCAACACCGTCAACGTCGCCTCGCGCATGGACTCCACCGGCCTCATGGGCCGCGTGCACGTCACCGACCACACCGCGCAGTGCGTACACTACACTACACTACACTATACCACACTACACTACACATCTGGGGCAACACCGTCAACGTCGCCTCGCGCATGGACTCCACCGGCCTCATGGGCCGCGTGCACGTCACCGACCACACCGCGCAGTGCGTACACTACACTACATCTACACTATACCACACTACACTACACATCTGGGGCAACACCGTCAACGTCGCCTCGCGCATGGACTCCACCGGCCTCATGGGCCGCGTGCACGTCACCGACCACACCGCGCAGTACGTACACTACACTACACTACACTATACCACACTACACTACACATCTGGGGCAACACCGTCAACGTCGCCTCGCGCATGGACTCCACCGGCCTCATGGGCCGCGTGCACGTCACCGACCACACCGCGCAGTGCGTACACTACACTACACTACACTATACCACACTACACTACACATCTGGGGCAACACCGTCAACGTCGCCTCGCGCATGGACTCCACCGGCCTCATGGGCCGCGTGCACGTCACCGACCACACCGCGCAGTGCGTACACTACACTACACTACACTATACCACACTACACTACACATCTGGGGCAACACCGTCAACGTCGCCTCGCGCATGGACTCCACCGGCCTCATGGGCCGCGTGCACGTCACCGACCACACCGCGCAGTGCGTACACTACACTACACTACACTATACCACACTACACTACACATCTGGGGCAACACCGTCAACGTCGCCTCGCGCATGGACTCCACCGGCCTCATGGGCCGCGTGCACGTCACCGACCACACCGCGCAGTGCGTACACTACACTACACTACACTATACCACACTACACTACACATCTGGGGCAACACCGTCAACGTCGCCTCGCGCATGGACTCCACCGGCCTCATGGGCCGCGTGCACGTCACCGACCACACCGCGCAGTGCGTACACTACACTACACTACACTATACCACACTACACTACACATCTGGGGCAACACCGTCAACGTCGCCTCGCGCATGGACTCCACCGGCCTCATGGGCCGCGTGCACGTCACCGACCACACCGCGCAGTGCGTACACTACACTACACTTACACTATACCACACTACACTACACATCTGGGGCAACACCGTCAACGTCGCCTCGCGCATGGACTCCACCGGCCTCATGGGCCGCGTGCACGTCACCGACCACACCGCGCAGTGCGTACACTACACTACACTACACTATACCACACTACACTACACATCTGGGGCAACACCGTCAACGTCGCCTCGCGCATGGACTCCACCGGCCTCATGGGCCGCGTGCACGTCACCGACCACACCGCGCAGTGCGTACACTACACTACACTACACTATACCACACTACACTACACATCTGGGGCAACACCGTCAACGTCGCCTCGCGCATGGACTCCACCGGCCTCATGGGCCGCGTGCACGTCACCGACCACACCGCGCAGTGCGTACACTACACTACACTACACTATACCACACTACACTACACATCTGGGGCAACACCGTCAACGTCGCCTCGCGCATGGACTCCACCGGCCTCATGGGCCGCGTGCACGTCACCGACCACACCGCGCAGTGCGTACACTACACTACACTACACTATACCACACTACACTACACATCTGGGGCAACACCGTCAACGTCGCCTCGCGCATGGACTCCACCGGCCTCATGGGCCGCGTGCACGTCACCGACCACACCGCGCAGTACGTACACTACACTACACTACACTATACCACACTACACTACACATCTGGGGCAACACCGTCAACGTCGCCTCGCGCATGGACTCCACCGGCCTCATGGGCCGCGTGCACGTCACCGACCACACCGCGCAGTGCGTACACTACACTACACTACACTATACCACACTACACTACACATCTGGGGCAACACCGTCAACGTCGCCTCGCGCATGGACTCCACCGGCCTCATGGGCCGCGTGCACGTCACCGACCACACCGCGCAGTACGTACACTACACTACACTACACTATACCACACTACACTACACATCTGGGGCAACACCGTCAACGTCGCCTCGCGCATGGACTCCACCGGCCTCATGGGCCGCGTGCACGTCACCGACCACACCGCGCAGTGCGTACACTACACTACACTACACTACACTATACCACACTACACTACACATCTGGGGCAACACCGTCAACGTCGCCTCGCGCATGGACTCCACCGGCCTCATGGGCCGCGTGCACGTCACCGACCACACCGCGCAGTGCGTACACTACACTACACTACACTATATCACACTACACTACACATCTGGGGCAACACCGTCAACGTCGCCTCGCGCATGGACTCCACCGGCCTCATGGGCCGCGTGCACGTCACCGACCACACCGCGCAGTACGTACACTACACTACACTACTACCACACTACACTACACACTACACGTCAACTGCAACTACATGCTATGCACGTGACACTACACTACACATACACTACACTACACTACACTACACGTACACTACACTACACTACGACTTACACTATTACCACACTGCACTACACTACACTACAATACACTACACTATGCTACACTACACTATATTGCACCCCACGAGGTGTAGTGTGGTGTTTATAGTGACATTCTATCTCATTAATTCCCACATAATTTGTTCGTTTATATAAGGAAAGTAACAGTATTTTTATTTGTTTACACGGGATTAGCATCATCTTTGCTTTTCTGTAATAAAAACGGCCTTGAGGTTTTATTTGAGGTCTGTACCTCAAATAAAACCTGCTTCCAATGATAATAAAGGTTTTATTTAATTAAACCTCAGTGCTGCGACAGCACTGTGCTTGCGGTCGAGTACATCGCATTTTTTTTACACTAAAACGTTACTGAGCTCAAAATAATATACATTAGTTTACGCATTACACAACGCTATTAATCTGCACTTACCCTCCCTGTATAATTGTATTTTTAATAATTATAGAATTTTGGAAGCTTCACATGTACTTGCAGTATTTTAAAACTGTTAAAAGTTGATGAGCCTGTAGTGAATTCTGATATGTAGCATCTTGATTGAGACGGTTGGAAAAAAAAGGTTATATAGTTGACTTCGATGAATTACTAACTATTCGAATGTAATGTAAATAAAATAGAAACCTAATCCTATGAAAATTACTTCTATTTTTTATATAGCCTCGAACGAAATCCCTCGGCGGTTTTTCTATAGTGCCTACATTAAGTAAGTTGGCAATGTTTCCTTTACCATAATTTGCCACTTATTCTCGGTTGGATCAATATATTGTCTAGAATATTGATAATTCTTTGGAGTTGGATGTTATGCTACCCCAAATTATTGTATTATATATAATGTAGCTAAGCAACAGCATGCTCTCGATGATACCGTGTTAATTCATTTCTTAGTACCTATATCTTAACGTATTTTTTTGAATAGCGTTGATTTAAATGGCATGGCAAAATGGCTAAATATAATTTTGCTCAACGTTTCAATTCATCTCATTGATGTAATGTTTTCGAACAAGTCGATTTTGGAACGATACCTTTCAAATACACGCGCCAGCAGGACTATTCTGTAATAAAAATAACTTCGAACTCATCGTCAAGCGCAACGATATAAAGCACTATTGCTCATACTCTATAGGTTCAATCAAATGAAACCCAGCCTTCCACTTCAAAAGGTAATAAAGGGTTTATTCCATTGAAGCATCATGCTGTCACAGCGCTGCGCTCGACGACCACTAAGAGGCTGTTTTATAACACTACCAGGCTGTTTTTAACAGAATAGACCTGCTATAGGTGCAGGATCACCGTAAGACTTCTTCATCCAATGATCTCACTAAAACAATTTCAGATCTCGTGTAGCCATGATTCTAACTTAATTCACAAACTCTACACTTATTTAAAACATGTCGCTCGTATCGATATTCGATCGATATGATACATGAGGTAGATATATATATATATATATATATATATATATATATATAGCTGAGAAAGAGAGACAGAGATAATTTCTTCGAGGTTCATATTATTTCTGACACCATACTCGATTGTAAGCGATAAATTTGATCGTAATTTATTATTACTAACCTACCTGTTTCAAATTTCAGGGTGTTGATGAACGCTGGTTACACGTGTGAATGTCGCGGTCCCACCTACGTGAAGGGCAAAGGGACTCTCGTCACTTATTTCGTGAAAACTCCAGACAAACTATAAGTAGAAAAACAATGCTTTATTTTATTCAATTAAGTTAAAAGAAAAATAAAGTAATCTAACGTAACCAAAAATATGATGACATTTTTTGGTGCCCACAAAATGATGTATTATTAATTTTTTTATGTACTTTTTCATTAAAATAGGATGTGATGTAAATATATCTACAAATATTTTTATTAATTTTGACATCTTGTCCAACGTGTACACCAAATAGCACGGGTACTACTATTCACGGTACAAGTTATGTATTTGAATTGTAAGTTTTATTTTACGTATAGCTGTAAAGAATAATAAAGAAAATTTCTATACTTTGCAAGCCAACTTTCATATTTAATGTGACTGTTTGATATTATAAATCTATTTGAAAGTTTTGTTTCGCTGCGTTAATTTTATGCATTACTAGCATACAATATACTTCTATATCCACTACCTCCAAAATTTAAAAACAATAATACCCAATTGCTAAAATGTAACTTTATCCAATAAATCTGTTTAAATCCTTCGGTTTTCCTGAGGTGGGTTTTTTTTAGTTAACTAAAATAAAAAATATGTCAATATGTATTTTCGTTTTAACTTGTGGAAATCTCTAACTTACAAGTTCAATCGACTTTGAGCGTCTGGAAATAAAACTCACAATGAAACTGTAAAGTTAACAGCTTTTAACTTACAGTTGACTAAGTATAATGATGAATTTTATACTCTGTAGTAACGCAGTAATAATTTTTAATGATAATTACTTATAATATTATCAATTCTGTTTAGAAAAGTGTTATGTCTGTTTCGAGGCGTTTTTATTTAAATTAACTCGTTAATTATGTTTGTTAGCAATAAGATTGGACTTAGTTAATTAACTTTTAGCTTCAGAAGTCGTTAATTAGAGTTATGTCTGCTATAAGTTTATGACACAGCCCTAACCGTATACTGCAATTTAATTTTTATTTAAGTAATAAATCCATAAGTACTTTGATGATGAAGGCATTTAGTTTCAGTATAGAAACTAAGAGGCGAAATAAAATTTATTTGTTTTGTTTAAAAACTAGCCATTTGTTTGTCCGTTGTTTTAGAATAAATATTTCATATTCTAGAATAAATATTTGATAAGTTCAACCATATCTACTAAACTATCATCGACAATTGTAAATAAAATACAAAAGGAGCTGCTTAAGTTCTTACAGAAATATATATTTTGAAATTAATATTTTTGATATCAGTAAAAGAAAACACTATGATTCGTGTGAAAAAAGTGTTCATAAAATTAAGAAAAAAATCTTGCAGTTCCAATCTTCAGACTTCAAACTGAGAGAATTTTGCGCAGAATTTTAAAGAATCAAAGGGCTTCGGCAAAAGAATTTAGGGTAAAGGCTATTTTAAATTTGATGATTATTTTAAGAACCGTTGCTCTCCTTGAAATTAATAAATGGAATTAGCCTTCGCTTGTAAAACACGGAACAATTATAATGTCTTTACTTCTTATAAAGGTTGGTAAATTTATTTCGATTGTTCTTCTTGTCAGCCAAAAGACGTTCCTAACCGAGTAGTAGGCAAAAAAAAAAAATTTTTTTTTTAAGTTTATTTTTTCATTTTTTTTAATATAAATTCTCGTTATGCTATCAACGGTTCAGTAAGAAGAGCAATCGCCCAGTAACAGGAAGTCATAGTCTATGATATAGTTGAATTTATCAGATATTAATTTTAATATACCTATATGTAACATTAGCATAGCATTGTAAATGAAATTTTTATCAAGGGATTTGTAGAAACTTTCTAGTTTTTTAAATTTTTCATTGTGAATGCGACACGCGAGATTTTGATGAAATTTTGTACATATTAACTTTATACATTTTAAATGCTATTTAGGATTCTTTTCATTCAATTACCATATTCTCTAGTAGTAAGTATTCCGAAACCTATTGAGTAGAAGTTAGAGAACTTAGAATTAGATTCTTCGTGATTGACCAAAATGGTGAAACACTTTTACTTTGTAAGGCCTAATATATGTAAATGTAATTTATGACCATTTTAAAGAATCTCCATTATTTAATGTAAGTCGTTTAAAACTATTTCAAGATAACTCGTATGTGTGTATTGAAATATAAAAAATAAAAAACTAGATAAAATTCCTAGAATATTACTGTGCGGGTAGAAGAATAAAATTATTCAATTTATATAAAAAAATCGAAATAATAAAATTATTGAACTATATGATTTTTTTTTACTAAATTCTTATAAACAAATAGAAAGTTATTTTTGAATATATTTGATGGCATCTAACGCCAATAAATAAATTTAATAATTTTAGATATCTATTCATGATATAAATTTAATGTTATTGTAGTTATAAATTTTCATAAAACTCTAAAGCATGACAAAATGAATGCACTAGCTTGTCAAATATTTGCATTTAGTAAAGAAAAACTTTAAGTATAATAATTTAGCTAAGTTTTTTTTTAAATGTTTTATAGCGTTTAGATTGTATAAATTTGTTAGGCGATGGTGCTAAAATTATTAGAAATGAATGCATATCTCACAATGGAGTTTTAGTATTATTAAGATTTTTGTTTTTATTTAATTAATATTTTCGAGATAATGGTACGAACTAATAAATGAAATTTCAATGATTATTATAGCATCTAAGATTAATTTCTTTTAAAGCACTCTCAGACGACATACTGTTTTTACATTTAATTTAAAATATCTAATTCGATATAATTTCAATAAGCAGGAAAGATAGAGTGACTTTATAAAAAATTTAAATTAAAACTTTTATTGTTTAAAAATATCCCTTGATTCACTTAAGTTGATCTTACTTCTGAACTGCGAGGATTGTTGGAAAATCTTGCCAAATTTAATACGGTAATTATAATTGTAACTAGAAATAAACATTCATAATACTCTAATAAGAATATATTGTGTGCTCATAATTTAGTTTTTAAAAGTATAACTTGAATCGTATTATATGTTAGTTAGGTAGTACATAGGTGGATGATGATACTCTGTGAGAGTTTTATTTGATGTGGCTGTATATTCTTAAATAATTCGGTCTAAAAGAATTTATTTTAAAAATTAATTAAAATATATGAAAAATGTCTCGTTTTATTTTATTAATAAACTTATCCGGAACAAAATTTTTGAACTCAAATTTTGCATGAAATTTGAATAATAATATAAATAAGTTTGATCTTTATTGAGTCTGAAGGTAGTCATGGGATCTGTTCAATTAAACGAAGCGTAAGATAGACCTTGTATAGCTAGCGTATTAGTGACCTTGTATAGGAGAAAAATCTCCTAGGTAACATCCAACATAAAAATATTCTATAAAATATTATATAAAAATAGTCAAAACTTTGCGCCAATGAATTTGAAACCGCGTCTGAATACATGTCGAATCATCGTCC